GCATTAATCAAGTTATGATTTTGTATAAATAAATTTTAAAAAAAAAACCTTTATCCAAATTTGGTTTTCTTACTATGAATTTTTCAATTTAAACTGGTCAATGTAAATATAAACAATCGATAATATATATAGCTCATTACACTTTATGTATAAAATCTTATAGTTTGACTAACAATATAGATTTATATACTTTATAAGTTTATATAGTTCGGTGTGAGATCTGCTAAATCTACGTTACGAATTCATGCAGTTCTAAATAATCTTCTACAACTTATAGTTTCTAGGATAGCGATTTGTTGCAATTTTTTGGTTTTAATATTATTATTATCTAAACGTTTTTGCAATTTTTTTTTTTCAAAATTAAAAGTTGGGGTTTGTCATCCTACTGAAGGGCCATAATCATTTTCTCTGTACCATTCCAATTTTAGCAGGATTGATGTCCGCAATGGAACCGTTTAGCTATTTGTTGCGAAGGGAATTTAGATAAATACCCTAAATTTTAATAGAAATTTGAAAATTACAACTAATCTTATAAACGTGGAAAACTATACTTTTTGTTATATTAAAATACGTAAATATTCCTATACATATTTAACTTACTATATAAATTTATAATAATTTAAAATTATTAAATTTAAATTCGAAATTTAGTTTCGTATTTACTTTTTATTTTTAAAAATATTTTGTTTCTAATCAATGTCTAAAAACTAAAAAAAATTATTACATTAAAAAATAAAGATTCACTAAAAAAAATTATTACATTAAAAAATAAAAAATAAAAATTATTACACAGTCGACTTATATTTGTTTGGTTATTTTTTACTTTGTTGATTTATTTATACAATTTTTTTATTATTTTTATATTCGTCGACTTAATATTCAGCTTCTTCGACTTATTTTAAACTTTTGACTTATATTTCGTTTGCTTGATTTTTTTACTTTGTCGACTTGTTTAACCATTTATCTATTTTTTATTTTTATCGACTTAATTTTTAGTTTTGTCGACTTGTTTGCTTGATTTAATTTTTATGTTCATCGAAATCTAAATTAATTAAATTGTAAATCATAAAATTAATTAAAATCAATTCGTAACTTTATCTTATAAAAAATATCAATTATTAATTTTATTTAAATTAGTATAATAATATATTTTAATTTAAATTAATTATTATCTACAATCTTTAAAGATGATAAATCAAATTATAAATAAAAGTTGGAAAAATCAAATCATTTTTTTCTTATATCTTTAGCTAAGGATAAAACTGTAATTTTAAATAATAAAATGGGGTACTTTTTAAAGTTTAATAAATTTGGTATAGATTTCAAATTTCCAATAAGATTTACGGTATATAATCCAATTTTCCCTTGTTTTAATTTTTTTTTTCAATAGTTATTTGTCATAAATCAAGATGAATGTGCATTGGTATTCAACGTAAATATTGATTTCCTATAAAAAACAACATAAATAATTTTTTGTTTAATATTTATCCCTTTTTTATCAACGTTTAATACTTATCCCAAGCTTCAAATGTGGATAGTCATTTCTTTACATGATACTGACTCTACCTAAGGGGCCATGTTTTGTTGGATAAATGTCCGAGATATTACAATATGTGTCTAGTCCTTTCTACCGTACCCCTCTATTGTCTGGTCATACTCTTTTCTGTCGTACTCCTACTTAGTACAACTTCGGTAGTAGTATTTGGTACAACTTTGGTAGTATTATTTGGTACAACTGCACAACTAGATATTATTTGGTACAACTGTAAAGATACTGTACAATTAGGTATTACTTGGTACAATTGTAAAGACATGCATGGTATAACTAGTTGTTTGAATAAAAAAAATACATGGTACAACAAGAGTATATCATACATTGATTTAGTCAACAAGAGCTTTCCAGACATTATTTCTGTTTTGTTGGCTAAAATGCATGAGACCAGGGTCGTACCTATGTTAAAACATAATCAATGGTAGTTGTTAAGTTGGGGTGCTAAGTGATTTTTTTATTATAAATTGTATTGTGTCAATTAGAACCCCATATTTTGGAGTTCTAAATCTCTTAAATTAGGACCTTTTATTGGAGTTCTTAAGTGTTTTGTGTATTATTTAATTATTTTTAACTTTTTAGAAATTTATTAAAAACTACTTAACAACTACCATTGATTACACTCTTAGTGATTTAGAGGCCCTCGCTCCGGTCCGTTTTCTATAAAAAAATCTACGGCCTTCGATTTTGTTTAATTAGAGTAGTAATGACTTAATGTTATACCTGGCACAAATATAAATTAAACCTTAATATCTTTAAAAAAAAAATTGGCTTGTATATCCCAAATCTTATTGGAAATTTGAAATCTATACCAAATTTATTATACTTTGAAAAATATCATATTTTAAGAGTTGAAATGACAATTATATC